GTGCCCCCACCACCCCTGCCAGCACCACCACCCGGCGTCCCTCCCCCACCCATCCTGCCGCCGCTGCCACCCTTCCCACCTGGACTGTTCCCCGTGATGCAGGTGGACATGAGCCATGTGCTGGGTGGCCAGTGGGGCGGGATGCCCATGTCCTTCCAGATGCAGACGCAGATGCTCAGCCGGCTGATGACCGGCCAGGGCGCCTGTCCCTATCCACCCTTCATGGCTGCGGCAGCTGCCGCTGCCTCTGCCGGGCTGCAGTTCGTCAACCTGCCTCCCTACCGTGGCCCCTTCTCCCTGGGCAACAGCGGCCCGGGCCGTGGACAGCACTGGCCGCCCCTGCCCAAGTTCGACCCCTCGGTGCCACCACCGGGCTACGTGCCTCGCCAGGAGGACCCACACAAGGCCACTGTGGACGGCGTCCTGCTGGTGGTGCTCAAGGAGCTCAAGGCCATCATGAAGCGGGACTTGAACCGCAAGATGGTGGAGGTGGTGGCCTTCCGGGCCTTCGACGAGTGGTGGGACAAGAAGGAGCGGATGGCCAAGGTGAGTCGGGCAGGACCGCCTGAGCCCAGACCCTTTCCTGGACCCCGCTGCCCACTGTCAGTGGCTGTGAGATGGGAGCACAGACCCACTTCCACATTCGCCCTCGCCTCGCGTCCCCTGCTTAGCTACCACTTGGGGCCAGTGGCACCGGCAGCAGCATAAGCGGGGTGCCCAGCCTGGGGCCCTCCCACCTTCGCTGGCACAGAGCCCTGCCCTGGCAGGACCAATGCGCTTTTCCGTTTTCACTGAGAATTGGCCCTTGCTAGCTTATAAATAATCTATGACTCCTCTCTACGTGAGGGAGCACACCTTTCTTTTTCCTTGTTTGAGGTGGGATATTGCTCCGTTGTCCCAGGTCCACGCTGGCCCCAGGTCCTTGGCTAAAGCAGACTTCCTGCCTTTGCCTTCTGAGCGGCCAGCACCACAGCTATGTCTGGCACCTCGACTATTTCACACTTGATCTTAGCCAAAGGCCGAGAAGCAATAATCTTGAGTGTTTTAAAGTCCCCTCGACCACTGTCCTAGTTGTAGTCCCCTCTGCCCCACCATCCCCAGAGGTGACCAGAGTTATCAGTTTTGCATCCCCCAGCGTGCTCTGGGTGACGCCTGTCAGCCTGTTCCCCTTCTGCATAAGGGGACAGTACAACCCTGATGAACCCCGCAGTACTGCTGCTGAATGAGTTTTTTGGGGTTTTTTGGTACCGGGGATGGAACTCAGGACCTTGCGCTTGGGAGTCAGGCAGCACGCCACTGGGCTAAATCCACCGCACAATGAGTGTTTTTATCATTCAATTTAGTTGAGTCTGCCCTACCAGGTGAGCCCCAGGAACCACTAACTGAGCGCTCCTCCTCCCTTAGTGACAGAATATAAAGCGCCCCCTGCTGGAGGGCCGTGCTCCCCCTGAACCTTTCAGCAAGGCTTCTTACCCATTCCCACCTCCCTTCAGAGAAAGTGTGCGAGACTGCAGGGGCAGCCTCAGTGAAACAGTCTGTGGATGCTGAGTTTGTGTGTATTTGAGAGGTGGTGCTGTGGACTGAACCCAGGGCCTTCACACTGAGCTGCACCCCCAGCCCTTTTTTATCTTGTATTTTGAGACAGGGTCTCACTAAGTCACTAAGCTGCCTAGGCTAGGCTCAAACTCAGAATCCTCCTGCCTCAGCCTTCCAGAGTGCTGGGATGAGAGACATGACCATCACGCTGGGCTTGTGGGTGCTGTTTTTACTGCAAAAGTAGGACAGCAGGACTCTTCCACGTGAGCCTTGGGTATAGATGTATACCTGACAGTGCACGGACTGCTTCTGGAGAGCTGCTGTCGCCATGGCTGCTGCTTGGGGAAGGCTGCCTGCAGGGGTGGCGGCAGCACTGTCACCGTGGCTGTCACCCCCCCAACAGGCCTCGCTGACCCCCGTGAAGTCGGGCGAGCATAAGGACGAGGACAGGCCGAAGCCCAAAGACCGAATCGCCTCGTGTCTGCTGGAGTCGTGGGGCAAGGGCGAGGGCCTGGGCTACGAGGGCCTGGGCCTGGGCATCGGGCTGCGAGGCGCCATCCGCCTGCCCTCCTTCAAGGTCAAGCGGAAGGAGCCGCCGGACGCAGCCTCGGCTGGCGACCAGA